GCAGTTTTTCCTTGCCTGTGTCGCCTAGTGCTTGCTCTCGGTGGGAACTGTTGGGTTTCTGTAAATAACTCTAAGCTCTCTTAGGAAAGCGGGAGATAACTGTTTTTGTGATTGGGCGCTATAGAAATATAATTTAATTTAATTTAATTGAATACATGTCTTGGATTGTGGTTATCCTACTGGATTTTTGGTATTTTAATCAATAAATGATCTTTACAATCACAAAAACCGTCTTCTTGGTGGGTTTGTTTGGGCAATTTACCAATGTACTTGAAGTTATTTAACATTTATATACTACAGATCAATAGTGGTAATATAGGAACACCCGGTTAAAACAAGAAAATATCAAGAGAAAATAACAAGGAAAGCATCATATTTGACACCTTTTTTATTAACTTAAAGTTAAACATTCTCCCTGTTATATGAGTGGATTTCAATGTGTCGAGTACAAACTATACACGGATATAAGCGGTCACATGTTTCCTGGTAAAGAAAAGATTGAATATCCATATTATGAGAGTAAATTCAATTGATCCCCATTAAGAATGAAAGTTTCCAGCCTCACCACTAGGTGGCAGTATCTGACAGACTGCAAAGGTTTCAGATTGCTGAATGCAGATACTGAAAATCACAGGTTAAAAACCGGTTTGTTATGAGAAAAAACGTGTGGTTTGACAGAGAGAAAAACCCGAGACGGATTGAGCTGCTCCTGACTCTGTCAGGTGACATTTTCTAACCGAAATCATGAGATAACAACAGCAGCCAGTGGAGCCTAAAACAGTCCGTGTGTGTGTTCAATAAAAGCTTACATTGGATTTTAATACATTACCTTGGATTATTTCACTTTACCTTGGATCTCTTTACATTACATTGGATAATTTCAGTTGACTTTTTATTTTTTTTACATTACATTTGATTGTTTCGCTTTACTTTGGATTATTCTGGATTACATAGGATTGTTTCACATTATCTTGGATTTATTCACTTTACCTTGGATCTTTTTACATTACTGATTTTACTTTACTGATTTTTTTTTCTTTTCATTACATTGGATTGTTTTGCTTTTTAAGCAGTCACACTGAAATCATGAGATAACAACAGCAGCCAGTGGAGCCTAAAACAGTTCGGTGTGTGTTCAATAAAAGCTGAGAGCAGAAGAACAGTCAGCAGGAGAAAGTCCAGGGAGGCTAAAGTTAATGGCAAATAGCAAATAAGAAACTGAAAACAAGGATTTTTAAAAATAAACTATAACTGTCAGCCTTATGCCCAGTGTTGGGTACGTTACTTTAAAAATGT